GCACTGACCAGAAGGTTAGCGTGGAACTTGGAGGAAAAAGTAGAGACAGACCTGCTTTAAGAGTGGAATATTTCCTTCTGTGACAGTAGCCGGTGCTTTATAGCAAGAATGATGTGAAACTGTCAGCACAGAGGACATCAGAAACGATTGCAGCGTGATGATTGCGCATATGCTGACAGAATGCCAATATTAATATTTCTTTTAATATTAGCATTGATAGTTGTAGTCGTGATATTCTCGGTTATATACCTATAATTTCAGTGGTAGGTTAATTATATGCAGTGGTAATAGAAATAGTAGCTGCAGTGATGGTAATAGTGTGTTAGTAACGATGATGTTAATTGTTACTGTAGTACTGGTATTGGTAAAGGTAATAAGTTATTAGTATTAATTGTAATACTAATATGCACAAAATTAACCCCGATATTATGGCGTTACTAGCAAGGTGCTAGTTTTCGATACCATCGGTAATAATGACATTCTCCTGTCAGTTCTCTACATTTACGCGTAGGCGCACCATCCCTTTGCTTCTAGTAGCTATAGGCCCATTCTAGTAGACAATGGCGAAATGGTAATTGGCAGATCAGCGCATGGATGCCAAACTGCATTACTCATCAGGGCTCAACAAAAATCTGTTCGGACATCTACCGAAAGTCTACTCTCCGTAAACTTATGTACAGAAATATCCTCAGGTATTTTTAGCAAGGGTTTACTAACAAACTACTAGAACCGGGTATTTCTTTTGGCAGTTTTGTCTCGATCAGCTGCATTCTTCGACTTGAATTTAAAGTTGTTATAAAATATCAGTTGATCTTCAGTATTTCTTAAGTTGAAGTCGTTTATTTTAAGTGTCCTCCATGCAGAGGGTTTGTTAAAAAGCTGGTCGATACTTACGCTGCAATTAAAAGCCGATCCGACAGCCAGAAATTCGAAATCATCTTCTGTTCATGCGATCGCTCATTGGAAAGTTTTAACCAGTTTTTTGCTACTATGCCTTGGTACGCGATTCCGTTTGGTGATCCACGTTTGTCACGCATCGCCAGAACGTTTTGCATTCGCGGTAATCTTGCTTTCGTTATTTGGACATGTTTTTTTACAAAACAATACGTTTGTTTCAGAAATTCCTTGTCTTTTGATTCTCGATGAAAATAATCAGATCATTACGCGGCACGGCAGGTGCGAAGCGCTCTGCGATCAGCTGGGGAAGGTGTAGATGCTGATTTTATGACGAAACGAACGACTGCATTAAACGGTATTGTTTCTAGGAGTTTCCATGGTATCCTCGGTCGGTAATTGAGCTCAACCAAAATACCTGCTATCGCTTACGACAGGACGTCTGTTTGATTCTGTTCACAGGTACAGTTTTACACCGTTTGAGGCAGCGCTTTAGAGATTGATGACGTTCTGCGTCTTCTTTCAAAGCTTTTGGATAACAGTGTTATTCGAACCATGATTTCATTTGTTGTGATTAGTTCTTGAGAACACACTGCTAAGAGTTTGTCGTCTGCAACATTTCTTGCGAACGAGTGGTGCAAGATGTTGCTTGCGATGGAATGTATTCTTCTCAGCTGCTACCGTATACCAAAAGCTCATCATCTCATCCAAACGATTGAGGTTGCTTTTGTGAGGATGACCGATCTGTTTCAGAGAAGAACACTTTCCCCGGAGGTCTGTGCGGGTGGATTAGGGAGGCCAAATTAGGCATTAGGGCAGTGCCTTCTGCAGCTTGCACAAGAAGCGTTGTTTTTCAGATGAATGGTTAGTTATTGTTAGTCAATGATGTACTTGCAAACGTTTCCTCATCTGTGTAATGTCCTGACGTTCTGTGTTTAGAAGGTACATCGGAAGACCTGTCTTTCGCACAGAATGCCCTTCTACCCATAGCCGAAGATCATTTTGTTGACGGATACGAACCAGATTTAGTGTTTTTCTACGCAGGCGAGGTAATTCTCGTGTAATCGGCGATTATCGACACTTTTATTCCGGTTTCAGAGTCCTGTGTGTGAACGTGCTCTAGACACCCTCGGATTGTCGGACGTGCCCCTGCCGCTGATCTGCATAATCGACCCGTTTTCGGCGTCTCTGTTCATCTGTGAACACCCGAACGTGTCTGAAGAAATCATTCGAAATTTCATCTCCAGATTTGAGCGCGATGAACTGATGCCTGTTCCACTGCAGAACGTGATCTGCGCTGACGTCAAGTCATGACATCGAATCATCCGTAACCGTCTATCTGCGATGTACATCATGTGCATGCGTCTTGGCATCAAGTAGCTAAGGAACGCTTGGATATTAATGGACTACCGTCGTCGTCAGGTTCCTTGAAAATTTTCAGCCAGTGTGTTTGTTCTGCTTTAGCCATAATCTCGTTTTAGTTAACATTTGCACACGGTTCATTTTTTATAGCTTATTTGTTCTGTTTGTTTGTCAGTATCCCGCGAAAGATATTTTTCGCTGGTGTTTATTGATGTATAGATATGTCTGTTTATCGCAATGCGATCAACAGTAAATAAGCTTGTAACTAAGGCCGAGTTAGTCTTGTGTTATTTATTCACATTCACGTATTTTATCACAGTTTTTTTGGGAACAGAAGCACTTAGATTGGGCAGCTGTATGTTGTTACACCCGCTGGTTCAATGATAATTGACTAATAGTTGCTAAGATGTCAGTCAGTCTATTCCGATGGCCGCTTACCGTTTTGGTTCATGATCATACCTCCCCGTCAGACCTTCAGCGGAAGATAACCAGTGTCAGGAGAAAACAACTCATGCACTTGTCCCAGATCATCCCTGGCTATCAGATCTCGAGAAAGTAGTAACTGTTTCACCTTCCTTTTTAGAAGCATTTACAAAACGTGCCAAAACCATTGCAACGACGTCACAATCTGGGGAAGCAGCGATTAAAAACAAAAGCTCTTCTGCGTATCTGAATCTCTAACCATGTCGTGAAGGAAGATGAAAATCGACTTTAGCACAGACCGCTTAATTTTTCTATTCGCATCTGCATTAGTCACAGCAATTGATACCTATTTCAGGTGGTGCATTGCCGGCCATTGTAATTTGTCCATCTCTTCCTCTCGTTTCATATAATCACGAAGCACGACAATCTGTTCCACTGTTTCTCCGTTCATATTAAGAGCGCAGCGAACAGGAGAACAAAATTACATAGATTATACGCTGTAGATAACTTCAGAGATGTGTTCGCCAACCCGCGTTCAGCTGCGAACCTTTTAGAGAGCCATAGAAATCAGTCTTTGAGGGTAAGAAGTAAGCGATATCGCTTCAATACAGCAAACTTACAGTTTATACATTCTTCACCTGGCGGTGCCTGACCAATCTGTCTAGGTGTAAACAGGAAATAGGAGACAACGCAGCCTTGGCTGCTGGGAGATCCATAATTATGAGGGCCACCCAAGATACACTAAATGAGATGCAGTCAATATCGTCTCCATGGATGCCAGATAGCTGAAAATATACGTTGTGGAAACAGTATTAATGTAGTGGACAAAAGCAAAATCACCAGGTAGAAAGAAACTTACAAAATCGACCCAGCATGGCATCTTTTGACACGCAATTAAATTTCTTTTGATACGCAAAAGAAAAATATGTGCCATTCGAGCTCACATCTTCCCCTTACAAACTGATTACCATGCACTAGAAGCACAATGTTTAAAATATGCATTAGGCCCAAGCTCCAAGGCTGAGCTGTTATCCAAAAATTGGGAGTTCATCTACTCTAGGTTTAACGCTACTAACTGGTCATTTGCCACTTTGAGATAAAAACTAACTCCGGATCTTTCTTCGTATCGCACAGTGGTTACGAATTCCCTGAATCCGAGCTAAAGTATTTAAGGAATAAAATGAAAAGATGAAATACCACCAAGCCTACACCAGAACAACAAAGTTGGATTTACACCCTATCCTGTAAGGGTAGACTCAATAACATAAAAGGAACCAAGACCATAGAAGAAAGGAAGAAAGGCACCTCATTCTCTTGTCTAAACGGGATGATGCCTATCTACGTCAGAATAGACAAGCACAGAAAGGCAAAGGCTGAAGACGAAACGAACATCCGCTAGAATGCAAAACAGAACTGGGTAGCCGTGCAACATTCACTACTGCACTACTACTATGCGACCATTTGAAGGAGATACACTGAAAGTGAAACTCTCTAAAACGAATGATAAAAGAAGCGTTTGCAATACAAGCAAACCGATGAATGAATAAAGACGTTGGCATAGAACTAAGATTGCACTGGAACGATATTATGTAGTAATTTTCACTAAGCTTGAAAGTTAACTAACATCTCCACACTGGTTTGTGCCTAAATGCACCAGTAAACACTGCAACATTGTAAAATGCTGCTTACCTGAAGACGGATCAGCATGATTTTAAACATAGGAGAATTCGTATATAATAAACTTGCATCTGATATGTAATCCCATATAAAATTTGTTGAACAGTAAAAGAATGCATTTAAACAAATTAAATTTATAAACAATAATCTAGGAGATGCTAATGCCTAAGTTCTTTTAAAACACGTACTGCCGGCACATTTAAAAATAACCCGGGCAGTTTCATACAGCTAAAATAAGGTACAGGTAATAATAATAACTTATAGTTGAGTACTTTTATTCTACTGTATAACAGTGCTTTCTGAGCTATGTAGTTTTGTCATAGATATATTGGCAGTACTTACGGTTGCATACCTGAGTTCAGTCGTCTTTCTGTGTTCGACATGTGCAGTGTGTTGTTCTGTGCGTCCTCGATAGTCAAACATTTTCGGAACAATTGTGTGTTGTTACCGTTCTTGCTGTTGCTTAATTCAGGTGAATTCTTTGTTTAATCCTAACTGGTTTGCAAATTTTGAACTGTTGGAAGGGATTTCTCTGTTGTTAGTTTCTTGATTCCGTTTCGTTTGCACTTTCACGGTAAAATCTGCCATGAGTAATCGCAGGTGTTGTCAGCCGAGAACTTGGTCCGAGTTCTGTCGCATAAATCATTATCACTGTGTTTGCATCTCATCTTCAGTCTTTCGTTACTCGTTCGACTGAACGCATTGATGCACAGTATTCTTTGAAGCGACTGCAACTCGTTCTCATAGGGTATACATTGTCCCTGTCCATTTCCGTAGTGTTCGCATTTCTGCTTTTGTATCTCGACCTTCTCAAACAAGACCCGTAGTGAGGTGTTTAACTAAATAGCAGAACTTTTTTAACTCATAACCTATACCTTGCCGTGGATGACAGACTGATGTTTTATTACTCCATGGTTAACACCGCGTAACCCATTTTTCGTGAAACGAGCTTAATCATGGAATCAGAATGCGTAGTTGCGATCAGTAAAAGGGTGCCTATTTTCCTCTCTATGGCTGGAGATGATATAACATGACAGTGTTTTAGCGAAATACCAGAATTTCTTTACCAGCTGATCACCGTTGAAATTTATTGTTCACATTTTCTTACTACATGTCCATGAAGCTTCGGTAGCATGCGTTCATAAATAATGTTTCATAGTCTGCCTACATTCTAACAATAACAGTGGAACAGCAGGTTTCAAAAGATTAATTTTGATGCTACAGAAATTTAACTTTAGCGTATTAGTGGTTTTGTGAAATATCACTTCTTTGGAGCTATTAATTATTGTAAGCAGCGATAAATTTTTAATTTGGTTACGTCAGGTTAGTCATTGTTCGAAAACTGGAGAAGTGTTGGTAATATTTACAGCGGGTATATCTAAAAAATTGACTGACTGATCAGGGCGATAAATGATTTCATTATTCAAATTTCTAAATTGTTCAGGGTATTTGCGTACGTACGGGGAGAAGATTTTTTTAAAAATTATTCCATCTTGAAATGGTAATATATGTTAGTATTGTAAAACTAGTGGGACCATTACTGACTGTTCTTCGGCCTGACTGGCACTCACCTGATTGTGTTGCCTAAAGACGTTGCGGCTATTCTTTTTTATGAGATATATGCTTAATAAACTTTCTAGCTAGTAAATTATTAATATCTTATATTGTATCGTATTACTTGTGCTTCTGTGTTATCACAGGTAGCAGTGTACGACTGTTCCGGCGCACAGCTGATTCTCGATCAAGAAAATGCTTTATGTGTATAATTGTATCGGTCTGCCGAACTGCGGTGAGAGTTCATCCAGTCATTTGCTTGAAGTTTTGTTTGCATATGAGGATGAGGCGCACTTTTGTTTGGCCGTATAAGGTTATTCTTCATCCGAATTACTTTGTAATCATTGCACGACAAAAGTTCTGTTTAACGATGGACTGATCCTTTTGTGCATGTTCTTCGAAAGGTACAGCCCATCCGCATTCACTGTTAGCATGTTCCCACCGTCTACGGAAACAGCTTTTAGCAAGACTTGTACGGATTTTACATAATATATGTACTAGAAATATTTTATGGCACATGGGCAGATAAGGTATTTTTTATGCTTAATCAATGTCGGTATGGTTAGTGTTTTTTAACCTCAGTACTCTGAGGGTGGTAGCAACGACGTGTTCACGTGTCGAATGTTTAACAGGACTTATTGATGGATCCCTGGTATTAGCTCTACTTAACATGCCATGGTACTTTATCTCGGTATTCTTCACCGTTTTGCGATGCGTCTAGTGAAGACTGACCGAGAGCCGTTTTTCCTGTTGCGGATATGTCTGCCTGACGTTTAGTTTTTCAGAGGGTTTAATCTCGCCTTAAACAATCACTGCTTATATTTAGTAGGCACTTGATCTCTCGAAATCGGATTTTACGGCGAATCGTGCGTGTAGCTGCATCTTTTTCTCCTGCGTGCTTACCAGCATTTAACAAGGGCCATTGATCCCTGGTTTTGAGCAGATCCAGAAATTGAATGTCGAGGTGCCATTTGTTTTTCTCGTATTCGTTGTTGGTGTCGTATTTGCAGACGCCAAACAGGGTATTCACAGGGTATTCTGGCATACCATTCGCCGGTCCCGAGGTGAAAAGAAGGTCTGTCTAGGAGTCCTGAAGGACAAGTCAGGACACACTCCAGGATAAAGACATTCTTCCGCGATGGAGAGAACTTTTAGATACTCCTTAACTCCGAGCAACCGCAGGAAGACTCGCCAGTAGAGCAGCAGGAAACTGATGCTACTCTTTCTATATATGAAACCATGGATGCTGTGAAAAGCTTGAAAAGTGGAAAGACTGTTAGAATCGATGAAATCCCCCATGAAATTCTTAAAGCATTGGGCAAACGGCAGGTGCTGGCTTACATTATAAACAACGCTGGCTCTGTAGAACTGCAGTGGCTACGGGAAGGACACATACATACATACATACACACCAGCGAACTGGAGAACGGGGATTGTTGTACTCCTTTTCAGAAAGTGAAACCACAGGGAGTGCTACAATTATCAGGGCATTACTTTATTGTACCTCCCACAAGACGTCTGCGCAAAAGTGCTAGATAGGAGGTGCCGCGGAGTAACTGACTCCAAGGTACAGGAAGAGCGGTGTGGTTTGCGGCCAGGGGGGAAGTACATATGATCAGATATTCGCCCTACCCAGATTGTTGAGAAATCGTGTTAGTTCGCCCACCCGATGCAGGTGTTTTGCTGACATAGAGAAAGCCCATGACCGAATCCCGCGCTACAGTCTGTAGTCATGTCTGCGAGTATAATGGAGGTATGCCAACTGCTACGGGCAATCCAATTACTGTATTCTAGCAGGTGCTGCGTCACAGTTAATGGCGTTAAGTCGAAACCATTCAACGTTCGCACTGGTCTCCGCCAAGGCTGCATCCTGTCCCATCTCATGTTTTTGTAGTACATGGATAAAATAGTCAGGAGCATCCAACGAGATGAGTGTGTCTGTGTAGGAGATGTTAAGTCGAGAAGATTGCTGTTTGCAGACGACCTTGTTTTATTAGCATCTTCTGAAATTGATCTCCAGTGCTCCTTAGAAAGGTTCGCAGCCGATTGCGACGTGATCGGCATGTCTGTGAACGCATCAGAAACGAAAAGACTAGTGCTTTCTCGTTCTGCTTATCGTTGCTCTCTTCAGATTAAAGGGGAGGCAGTGCAACAGGTGGAGAAGTTCAAGTACATGGGAGTCATATTTATTAGTGACGGAAGATTCGAGGAAGAGATCGACCGGCGAATTGGAGTAGCCAGTGGCGTTCTGTGCGAACTAGCCCAATCCATTGTGACTAATGCAGAACTGAGTGTGAAGACTGACCTGTCGGTGTGCAAGTCGATCTTTATCCCCATTCTTACATACGGTCTTGAGTGGTGGATCGTGACTGATAAACTTCGATCCCGCGTACAAGCGGCTGAAAGAGGCTTTCTGAAACGAGTTGCTGGCCTTAAGCGTTTTGAATTGGTCCGGAGTACAGAAATCCGTGGCAGCCTTGGTGTACAGTCGCTGCTTCTTCAGATTAAGAAGTCACAGCTGAGATGGTTTGGGCTTGTGTTGCGCATGCTTCCAGAAAGGAAGGCTAAACAACTGTTTCTTGCCCAACCGATCGGCAGGAGGCCCAGATGACGGCCGCGATTACCGTAGTACAGATATATGGGAGGCGTCTACTCTAGACTCCAGTTTTCTTCTTCCTCTGCTCAGACTCTGTCACAGGATCAGAAAGCTTGGAAGCACTGTGTGACGCTTGTGTCTCTGCGACCCTAGGAGAGGCTGTTATGAATGATGAAGATGATGATTCATTAGCAGATCTATTCGTTTATTATCAATGCGTCCTATTTTTCTCAGTATCCAAAGCGACAGGCATCAGTGATCTGGGTACTCTGTCCTTGCCTCTTATACTCCTGATGACGATGACAGCAACAACACTACATGTTCCTGTTCCTTTCCGGTTTACGTGCTTCGGGCATTCGTTCGTGGAACCAGAGAAAAAACGTTTCATCCCTCTTCGTAAGTGAGATGTTTGCTCTTGGAAGGGATGCCGTACTCGGTAAAACCTGGATAGGAGGATTTAAGGGTTTTAACATGTTTCTTTGTAAGGAACTCGTGCCCTAATCGCAAATGCATGATCATGGTGATTATCAGCGTTTTTCGATTTACTGTTGGACGAAAGACTTCTGTTTTCGCGATTGTCATCCATCCTAATCGATCAAACTTAAGGTGATTTTGCCATCGATCTGGAGATCTTCCCACAAACCATTTGCTTTCTTTTGAAACCCAGTCTAACCCCTGTCATGGCTGGCGATGGTCTGTCTGTTCTTGCAACCTGCCTTCACCACTGTCACTTCATTATAAGTCTGCAATATAATAGTTTATTTGTTGAATTTTAGTTAATGCTTCTGTTTCCTCGCTGAAATCTGAATCTAACTTAACGGCATTTCAGCAACTGTTGTATATAGCCTAAATATATTTAAGCATGCCTCCGGTGTTAATTTCGGTATATGTTAAACCCCTGAAGCCGCATTATTCTGCTTTTTTGTTAAATAATGAATTACTCCTGCAGGACCAAATTTCACGAAGTACTGTACCGTTTTTTGCTCCTATTTGCATAGTGGAGGGTGGTGTGGAGGGGAAAGGGCATATTAACAGACCATGGCTCCATTACATCTGAGCATCTGCGGTGCCAGACATCTTTCGCAGCATTTTTCTGCTAGAGGCACCTCGCATTCATTACGGACAACGTTCAGGAGCTGCTACCCCTCATAAAAATCAAAAAATGGTTTAAATTTAAAATCATAAAATAAACAGCATAAACATCATAAGCTGTTCTTACCCCGAAAATATCACATGACTAATGACTCCTCTGTGACCAGACTT